TTAAAGACCTTCCTGACTTGTTAAAGACAGATCTGGACCAAAACTTGGTACGAATACTAGATACGCCCAAATGTGGTGGAGTTTGGGAGAAATAGACCTTGACATTTGGGAGTTGTAGTTGCTGGGATTTATAGTTCACTTACAATCAAAGAGCATTCTGAACCCCACCAATGATAGAATTGGGCCAAACTTCCCACACAGAATCGCCATGACCAACAGAAAATACTGGAAGGGTTAGGTGGGCATTGACCTTGAGTTTTGGAGTTGTAGTTCACCTACATCCAGAGAACACTTTGGACCCAAACTATGATCGATCTGGGTTGAGTGCCTCTTGTTAGCTATGAATACAAGAGTCGAAAAAGCACAAAGACATTGTGCTTTAAAGACATTGACCTCATAACCTCTGAGGATGCCTGCCATAGATGCAGGCGAAACATCAGGAGAGAATTCTTCTAGAACTTGGCCATACAGCCCGAATAACCTTCAAGAACCCACAAAGACATTATTAGGTTAGGATGGAAGACAAGCATTGTGTGGTTGCGTATTGGAAAGAGGCCTCTTCCACTTCCTGGATGGCGTTAAGGCACCATTTCTCAACCTGGGGGTCAGGACCCCTGCAGAGGTCATAAAGGGGTGTTAGAGGGGTCGCCAAAGACCATCAGAAAACACAGTATTTTCTGTTGGTCATGGGGATTCTGTGTGGAAAGTTTGGCCCAATTCTGTCATTCATGGGGTTCATAATGCTCTTTGATTGCAGGTGAACTATGAATCCCAGCAACTACAACTCCCAAATGTTAAGGTCTATTTTCCCCAAACTCCATCTGTGTTCATATTTGGGCATATGGAATATTCGTGCCAAGTTTGGTCCAGATCCATCATTGTTTGAGTCCACAGTGCTCTCTGGATGTAGGTGAACTACAACTCCCCAAGTCAAGGTCAATGCCATCAATGCCCATGTTGGTCATGGAAGTCCTGTGTGCCATCGTTAGTGGAGTTCAGAATGCTCTTTGATTGTAGGTGAACTATAAATCCCAGCAACTACAACTCCCAAATGACACAATCAGTTTCTTTGAGTGATGGTCACTCTTTGGGTTAGTAGGTCTTGTGGCCAAATTTGGCAGCAATTCGTCCAGTGGTTTTTGAGTTATGTTAATCCCACAAACGAACATTACATTTTCATTTAAATAGACTAGCTGTACCCACCACACGTTGCTGTGGCCAACCTTCCTTCCCTCCCTCTTTCTCTCCTTCATTCACTCCCTCTTTCCTTCCTTCCCTTTACTTATTTCCTTCTCTCCTTCCTTCTTTCGCTTTTTGCTTCCATCGTTCTTCCTCTTTCCTTCTTTCCTTCTCTCTCTCTTTCTCTCCTTTCTTCCTTCTCTACCTCTTTCCTTCCTTCCTTTGCTTTTTGCTTCCATCCTTCTTTCTCTCTTTCTTTCTCCTTTCTCTACCTCTTTCCTCCTTTCCTTCCTTCCCTTATTTTCTTTCCTTCTCTCCTTCCTTCCCTACCTTTCCTTCCTTCTCCTTTTCCTTCCTCTTTCTTCCTTCTCTACCTCTTTCCTTCCTTCACTCTTTCTCTCCCTCTTTCCCTCCTTCCTACACTCCCTCTTTCCTTTCTTCCCTTTACTTCTTTCCTTCTCTCCTTTCTTCTTTCACTTTTTGCTTCCATCCTTTTTCTTTTCCTTCTTTCCTTCCTCCTCTTTCTCTCCTTTCTTCCTTCCTCCCTCTTTCCTTCCTTCTTTTGCTTTTCCTTACCTCTCTCCTTCCCTCCCTCTTTCTCTTCTTTCCCTTCTTCCTTCGCTCCCTTTCCTTCCTTCTCCTTTTCTTTTCCTTCCTCTTTCTCTTTCTTCCTTCTCTACCTCTTTCCTTCCTTCACTCTTTCTCTCCCTCTCCTCCTTCCTTCACTCCCTCTTTCCTTCCCTTTACTTCTTTCCTTCTCTCCTTCCTTCTTTTGCTTTTTGCTTCCATTCTTCTTTCCTTCTCCCTCTTTCTCTCCTTAAGCGGCTGAGGGGGGAAAAGGAAGGGGCCTGACGCTGTTAGGAATGATGGGAGTTGAAGTCCAAAACACCTGGAGGGAAGGCCCAAATTGGCCCAGGCCTGGTCTACACTGTAGAACAAATGCAGCTCAACACCACTTTTACTGCCATGGCTCAATGCTATCACATTCTGGGATAGCATTGAGCCTTATAGTTTCACAAAGGATAATGGCGCCTCACCCACCATCCCATACTATAGAGCCGTGGCATTGAAAGTGGCGCCAAACTGCATGCATTCCACGGCGTCGATGCAACCTGTGTGGGGTGGCAGAGTTGTTTGCAGGAGCAACGCTTTGCAGGGCGTTTCCCTCACAGACGCCTCAAGGCAGGAGCCTCGGCCGCCATTTCCCTCACTTTTTGTGAGGAAGTAAAACCCCACTGATCCCCACACAGCCCCTGAAGACAAAGCCCCCATCTCCAGTGAACATTGAAGACCCTTTCAAACTAGAATTGAAGACAGAATTTTCCTTGTGGAAGGAAATTTCACAACCCAAGTTTTGAGGGTTTGTGATTACACAAACCCCAGAGGCCTATTCAGGGCGCTTGCTTTGGAAGTCAGTTCTGAACTGCATTAGATGGGGCCAGACTTCTCTTCACCCACAAAATGGCACCATTTTATGCCCAAGGCCACCACCCTGTACAGCCCTGTGAATTAAAATTAGGCTTCTCAAACTGAAGAACTCTTCGAAGCCTCCCTCGAGAGAAAAAATTAGGATTTTCAGCCACTTTAATGGAACTACAACCCTCCTCCATTCAAAAGAGTCTCGATATGGCAGCTGAAGTGGGATAAAAACATGACAACAGGGTGGTATAACACGTCCCAAAACATCTCTTCAGTTCTCCCCCAGTTGAGAAGGGAAGGGTAAAAATATCCAAAATAAATAAAAAATAAAAATTCTCTTGTATGATTTTGAGTCTCCTTGAGGAATGGAAGGTGGATTGTTATGGATATATTTCACATTATAATATAATTATATAATATAATCAAATATTAGGAGTTGAGAAGGGAAGGGTACAAATATCCAAAATAAAACACGACAATAGGGTAGTATAACACGTCCCACAAACCCTCAAAAAAAATACAATTATCTTGCATGGTTTTGAGTCTCCTTGAGGAGAGGAAGGTGGATTATTATTATTATTATTAATATATATCACATTATTATTCATATTATATTATAATATAATTATTATATAATATAATCAACTATTAATATAATATAATGTTATTAATATAATATAGGAATATATTAATATAACATACTAACACAATATAATAGTATTAATATAACATAGTTATATAATATTTATATAATAATATGTTATTAATATAATAAAGCAATATATTAATATAACATGCTAATACAATATTATAATAGTATTAATATAATATAATATAGTTATATATTAATATAATATACTAACAGAATGTATTTATTTATTTATTTGCAGTATTTATATTCCACCCTACTCACCCCACAAGGTACTCAATATTATTATAATTAATATAGTAATATATTAATGTAATATACTAACATTATTTATTTATTTGCAGTATTTATATTCTGCCCTACTCACCCCACAAGGTACTCAATATTAATATTATAATAATATATTAATACAATATACTAGCACAAATTATTTATTTACAGTATTTATACTCATCCTGAAAGGGACTCAGTATTAATCTTATAATATAATAGTATAGTATTTATATTCTGCCCTACTCACCCCGCAAGAGACTCAATATTAATATTATAATATAATAGTATATTAAGGTAATATACTAACACTATTTATATATTTATTTACAGTATTTATATTCCACCCTACTCACTCCACAGTGGACTCAATAATATTAAAAAATAATATAATTCTATATTAATGTAATATACTAACACTATATTTATTTACAGTATTTATATTCTGCCCTACTCACTCCGCAGGGGACTCAATAATATTATAATATAATGTAATATAATACTATATTAATACAATATACTAATACAATTTATTTATTTATTTACAGTATTTTTATTCTGCCCTACTCACTCTGCAGGGGACTCAATATTAATATTATAATATAATACTATAGTTAATATTACTACAATATAATATTAATAACAATATTAATATTGTACCATAATATAATTGCATTAATATAATACTAATATACTAATGTAATTAATATAATCATATAAAATAGCATTAATGTATTAATATACTAATATTATAATATAATATAATATTAATGTAACATATTACATATTATACTAATATAATAGTTTATATAATATAATACAATGAATTTTTGCCGGAGCTGTAAGCCGCCTTGAGTCCCTTTGGAAATAAAGTAAATAAATAAATAGTATTATTAATATAATAATATTCCGCCTTTTTCTCCTCAAAGAGACTGTGGATTTGCGCATGCATTGTAATGTAATACATGAGAACTCAGAGACCAATTAGGAAATGACGGTTATAATCCAGGAACAAATATCATATTAAATAATAATAATAATAATCGTACTATGTAACACGGTTTTGGTTCCTGGATAACAAACTTTTTCCATGTTCATCAACTGGGAAATGATGTTTATCAAACTGCAATATCTCATAGCAACTCAACCAATCCAACATAGTTTGGGACAGGCACAAAAAAAAAGTTTTCTGGAGTTTAGTAATAACTACTTTGAAAGCAAAGTACCGCACAATTAAACAGGAAATAACGCTTTCAAACCAGGAGCAGAAAATATTTCTAATTTTGTTACATAGTGTAACAGGCTGCTGTAGTGTTATCATCAGCTGATGGCCACAGACTTGTTTCTATGTCTGTGCACTGTGATAACCTTGTAGAAGGCCTTTAGCCTTCTCTGCCAAACTACAAACTTCCATGTAACACTGAGCCATTGTAAGGATACCTTTGTAACACTGAGCCATTGTAAGGCTCACTCACTCACTCACCTTGGCAAGAAACAGTGGCAGCAAGAAGCAGCAGCAAAGCAACCCCACGAAGGAACTCCATCGCGCGTGGGTGAAAGGGGAAAAGATCCAAGTCGAGGTACTATTTCCCTCCCTCCCTCCTCTCTCTTTCTCTCTCTCTCTCTCAAGGCTTGGAGTCTTCCTTCTCCTTCGGTGGAGCTGCTGGACTGGTTCCACAGGTAAGCCCGGCCCCTGGCTTTCTCCTTCTTTTCCTTCTCCTCCTCCTCCTCCTCCACCGGCCTCGCCCTCTTCTCTCTCCTTCTGCTCGGGTTACAAGGGCGGCCCTCCTGCCCTTCCTTCCTTCCTTTTCAGCTCCAGCTTGGTTTCCCCCCAGCGCTGGCTCCTTATACCTGGCCTCCGCCCCACCTGAGCGAAACTGGGAGCGGCCTGATCCCCGAGGCGGCGCTTGGGAGACTCACCTGCAGCCATATATGGCCTTTCCTGAGAGGAGGCGCAGGTGGGGAAAGGCAGAGAGGGAAACTGGGCTCTGCCAACTTTATGGCTCTATTTAAGGCAGGCAGGGGCCAACTTGGCCCTCCCAGGTGTTTGGGACTTCAACTCCCACCATTCCTTTTTTATATATACCTTTTTATTTATAGACTAGCCGTCCCCTGCCACGTGTTGCTGTGGCCCAGTCTGTGTATATGTATTTTGTGTGTGTATATGTGTGGTTGCATATCTATCTATCTATCTATCTATCTGTGGATTTACGCATGCATTGTAATGGGTTTTTTTTTTGCTTTTTAAGTCCCTTCTGCTGTGTTTCTCAGAATTTTTATGAGTGATGGTCACTTGTTGGCCTTATAGGTGTATTGTGTCCAAATTTGGTGTCAATTCATCCAGTGGTTTTTGAGTTATGTTAATCCCACAAACGAACATTACATTTTTATTATATAGACTAGCCATCCCTGTCATGCATTTCTGTGCCCAGTCTGTGTATATGTGTTTTGTGTGTGTATATGTGTGTGTCTGTATATTTGTGTATATGTGTATATATGTGCATTATAAATCCCAGCAACTACAATTATATTTTCCCAAACTCCACCTGTGTTCACATTTGGGCATATTGAGTATGTTTGGGTCCAGATCCATCATTGTTTGAGTCCACAGTGATCTCTGGATGTAGGTGAACTACAACTCCAAAACCAAAGGACACTGCCCACCAAACCCTTCCAGTATTTTCTGGTGGTCATGGGAGAACTGTGTGCCAAGTTTGGTTCAATTCCATTGTTGGTGGGTTAAGAATGCTCTTTAATTTTAGGTGAACTACAGATCCCCACAACTACAACTCCCAAATGACAAAATTAATTTTTTTGAGTGAAGGACATACATTGGGTTGTTAGGTGTCTTTGTGTCCAAATTTGGTGTCAATTCATGGTTTTTGAGTTATGTTAATCCCACAAATGAACATTTCATTTCTATTTATATAGATTTGTCAATTAACATGTATAAATATATATCCTTTCCCCCTTTTTACAATATATTGGAACAGACTATGGAACAACCCACTGGTTCAAGATTAGGAAAAGAGTACACCAAGACTGTATCTTATCTTGGCGAACGGCTTTTATGCAATTTATCCTATATGTATTTGATAATTTAATGTTGTTGTTTTATGTTTTAGATTTTTAATGTTAGCATTGAATCTTTGCTGTTAGCCGTTCTGAGTCCCTCTGCAGAGGTAGAGAAGATCGGGATATAAAAGTTTTAAATAAATAATAAATAAATATACTCTAACCCGACGTAACAAACTGTCTGACATTTCCCTCATTAAACAACAACAACAATATTTATTACGGTCCATAGACCCATCAGTGAACAAACATTTTATTGATAAATTCTCCCATCTCCTTGTCGACAATTAATATATATGGTTTCAAGTAATACCCCTACCCAAGGTTAGTTTCTTTCTCAGCCTTGTTGCCACTGCGAGGAATTTTGCCACTATGAGGGTCATCCTGTGGCACCTGTCCTTTAAAAGATACCTAACAATCCCCTGCGGGGATGGCTGGTCATGCGGTACAAAATTGGATATAAAAGTTGGCTACGTTGCATTGCGTAATAGCAGCACTTCAATAAAATGTGTTCTGTTGTTTCTACTTCATTTCCTTCACAGGGGCATAGTCTTTGGGAGTAAGGAGTTCTAGACAATCTGCCTCTGAGGGAAATACATTTAATCTCGCCTTTGTAAAGAATCTGCGATATTTGATCACTGTAAGACTTTTTAGGTATTTGCATATCAAACATCATCACACTAGAGAATGAATCCAATTTAAATCCGGTTTCTGCCTCCTGCAGAATTCTGGGGTTTGTAGTTCCAGGAGGAGCCTTTGACAGCCTCACTGAACTACAAACCCCAGAATTCTGCAGGAGGTAGAAACCGAATTTAAAGTGGATTCATTCTCTAGTGTGATAAAGTAAATGGCTCTCTGTATGGCAAATTTAAGACTCTGGAGGAGCATGATGAATTTGAGCAGGCTCTAGGCGCACCCAGGGCAATGCCTCACAACCTTTGCTTCAGGAATTCTTGTGTGCCATTTTGAATTTTGAGCAAAAGGGATGTGGATAGTCCAATTGAGGCCGCTTTCCATTCAATCCTCCTAGCCCAAAGGGGATTTGGAGGCTTCATAGGGGAGGAGATGTAGCAAACCTTTAAAACCTTTTCATTTAAAATATACTCGATAAATTTTCCCCATATTTTCCAAAAATCTGTTTGTTTTGATATTCCCTTTTTAACTTTAATATCACAAGTCAGCCTGACATTAATAGCTATGTTCCAAATTTCTCTGTACCATTCTTCTAATTGAATTGCCCTTCTTTCTTTCCAGTTTTTTGCTATTAGCAATTTCACTTCTGTTAGTAAATGAGATACTAATTCCTTCTCCTCTTGTGCGGGAATCATATTGTCATGCATAAATAATAATGCTGAATTTGGTGTATTATCTATCTCTATTTTTATTGTTGCTCTTATTTCTTTAAATACACTTTCCCAGAATTTTTGTATAATTTTACAGGACCACCATATATGAAGATATAATCCTATTTCTTGACAGCCTCTCCAGCACTGATTTGAATATTTTTGAATATTTTTGATCTATCTGATTTAGTCAGTTAGAAAACTGCCTCGAGTCGCCTCTGGGTTGAGAGGGGTGGTATACAAATATTGTAAATAAAGAAAATAAATAAATAAATAATAGTCTAATGGGGGTTAGATACCGTCTCCATACCATTCTGTAATAATTTTCCTTAATTCTTATGGACATATTTTTTAGTCATCTCACACTCCATATCCTTGCCCATTTTTGAGTATTCACTTTTTTCCTAAATCTACTTCTCATACTTCCCTCAAGTGGTCTTGTTCCTGTTTGTCCATTAATATTAATTTATAGATATTGCTTACTCTGCCTTTTAATATTTCATTCTCTTCTTTAACCTCAGACAACACCCATTCCTACAGATGTGTACACAGACGTCTGCATGGTTCACCTGGGGCAAGGATTACCCCAAAGTGTATACCAGGCAGGGGAAAACTTGGGCCCTCCAGGTGTTTTGAACTTCAACTCCCATAATTTCTAACAGCCTACTGGCTGCTAGGAATTGTGAGCATTGAAATCCAAATCACCTGGAGGGCTCAAGTTTACCCCTGACTGCGCTATACCATGCTGACTCTTCATGCTCATCTTACCAAGCTCCAACCAACCTTCAGCTTAAGAACAAATATATAGAACCTATCTTGTTTGTAACCTGGGGACCGCCTGTATACCCAGAAACAGGTCTAATCTAACATTTGAGGCACTAAAATGTGTCGGCCAGTGTAATCTTCCAAAGCAGCATGTTGTTGTTTTGTTGTTGTTGTTGTTCTTGTTGGCCTTCAAGACATTTCCAACTTACAGTCAGAACCAGGTCTGTAGCCGGGGGGGGGGGGGGGGGTTAGGGGTTCACATCATCCTTATTTAAAAAAATAAACCTGGTTTACTCATGAATTTTAACTGGTTAACCAAATCCCCATGCTAAGTCTATGAGACGCAAAAAATTAAGAGTCCCTCCAGAACTGCAAGCACTATCTCAAGCAAATATTGACAATTTATTCACACTGTCATTACTTGCAGCAATAGCCGATGTAGCGAAGCAACCAAGTTGGGGGGGGGGGGTGTTGAATGCTCTCATTAAGGAGGCCAGACTTGGTGGAGGTGGTTGACAGGGGCGGAGCTGCAGGCTATTGAAGGCTGCTCTGCCCCCTGCTGTGCTCTTTGCTTCAGCGTGAGCTAGGAGGCAGGTTTCAACTCCCCCCCCCCCCCCAATTTTCTGGCTATGGCCCTGTTCAGAACCTATCATACAGTTTTCTGGGCTGAGAATATGAGACTTCAGTGAGTTTCCATGGCAAAATTGAGACTCAAATTCTGGGCTCCAGAATCATAGCCTAGTGCTGAAACCACTACACCATTCTAATACATATCAAAAACAAAATTCTGTGGTAATGGCAGGTTCATTTAAATAAAATGAAACACAGTCCTTCTCTCTGTTTTAGATTGTTGCAATGAATGAGTGAATGATCGTGATGATGGGTTCCTGGACACTACTTATTTTTTGTAAAGGATTTGGAAGTGGAAGCAGAAATAACACAGAAAGAAAGGGAGTATAGAATCATGGAATCATGACCTTGTGGCCCATCCAGTCCTACTCCCTGCCAAGAAGCAGGAAAATCGCTTTCAAAGCACCCCTGACAGATGGTCTCCAACCTCTGTTTAAAGGCCTCCAAAGAAGGAGCCCCCATTACACTCCGGGGTGGAGAGTTCCACTGCTGAGTAGTATTTTCTTATGCCACAAAGAAGAGTAGTTCAGCAAGTTTAAACAAACTTTTATTTGAAATCTACAACATGAAATGAAACAGCCAGGTGAGCAGACAAAAGCATTTTGAACCTTCTGGAAGCCATTTAAAGTCTTCTTCCAAAAGGCAACCAGGAATTACTTCCTCTTCCTGCTCTTTTCTTACCATTTTGATGGCTGAACCTACTAATCTATGCTTCTTATCTTGCTGGGGGAATAAGGCAGAATGATCACCTCTCCTCTTTTCTCTCTGCTTTTCAGTTAACGCTTGTTTAGTTAGAGATTATGGAAGGCAGCTGCTATACCTTAAAGGCAAGCACAAACAGTGCTCCAATAGGACAGCTAGAGTTGCATCTAGCTCCTTCCCAGACTGAACTTTTAATTACTGCATTGTTTACATCAGAGTTTCTGTTTGTCCAGCAGTCTTTCACCACCATACCAAAGTCAATGCTACTAAAAAAAAGGAAACCTAGAAAGAAGACAAAGAGGAAAAGGAGGGTGGGT